CCTTGCGCATATAAAGTTGAAAACAACTGCCAGGAATGCATAAACAGGCACTCGGCGCTGGGCAATCCAGCAACGGCACCAATACTAGTAGGTAAAGGTAAAGCTTTTCCTCTGACATTGTCCAGTCGTGTCCAATTCTAGTGGTTGATGCTCATCTCCATTTCTAAGCCAAAGTGCCGGCATTGTCAGTAGACACCTCCAAAGTCCTGTGATCGGCATGACTACATGGAGCACCGTTACCTTCTTTCCAGAGCAGTACCGATTGACCTACTCACATTTGCATGTTTTCGAACTGCTGATATAGAGGAAGAATTTAGGAGGGTCTCACCCTGGAAGGAGAGACCCTGCGGATCCACCAAAGAGGGCTCGTTACTTTGGTGAGCAAAAGAAAGGAGAAGCCGCAGTTTAAAATTTCCCTAGGTTACCAAAAATAATCTCACCAAAGCTGAAGGAAGCGTCACCAAGTTGATTTTATTGTGATTCAGCTGGAAAGGATGCAAGGCCGCGATAGTTCATCAAGCAAAGCATACAGTGTCCCTCAGGTACATCGGCATTGCATGGTCTGGGGCCGATGTACCTGAGGGACTGCCTCACCCCCTACCAACCCCAGAGATCCCTCCATTTTGAGGACCAAGATTTATTGGAAATTCCCAGTGTCAAGACCTTGCGTCTAACAGCAACCAGACGCAGAGCCTTTACAGCAGTGGCACCATCACTCTGGAATACTCTGCCACCTGAAGTCCGTGCCTTGCGGGACTTATCAGCTTTCCGCAAGGCATGTAAGACATACCTGTTTCGACAGGCCTTTGATTTTTGATATTGTTGTTTTTAAATTGTTTTTAAATTGTGTTAGATTTTAGCCTGTTCTTGTAAGCTGCTCCGAGCCCCAGGGGAGTGGCGGCATATAAGTTTGAATAATAAATAAATAAATAAATTCCTTTTTATACATAAAACTGAGCTGTCAGATTTGAATTTCCCGCTCCCTGCCCCTCAGCCGGCTTGGCGATGATTGGTTGGCTCTCTACAGCTTGGAGGAGGCTTGGCCGCCTCCGGAGTGCCTTAGCCAATTGATGAGCTTCTGCCGCCTCAGTTTCCTGGCCAATCAGGAGAGAGGGAGGTGGGACGAGAGGGAAACAATGAATTATTGAGTGGATTATGGAAATACGTGGTGTCCAAATGGCCGGCAAGTCCCCCAGGGGCCTTTAAGCCGGTCTGCTTATTGTTCTGATGGATGGCAATCAACATTGAGGTTTGGCAAGCTAGTCAAAATCCGGATTTTCTTTGAGCCAGGATATAGAAACAATGAGGCAATCTTGGCTGAGGTTTCGGTTGAAAGAAGCTTGAATGAGTAAACAGATCAGGACAAAGTGTGGCTTTCCAAAGGCCCTTTGTCCTGTTGAGATATGATCACTTATGCCAAGCGGACATTCCGCTGGGCGCGGGGGGTCAGACTCCGAGCCCCAGAGTCAAAAACCCATTGTATTGTCCATGCAAATATGTCCTTGGATAGGGTTCTTTTCAAACAGAAGATTTCCTCCTTCCAGGGTCGCTGAGAGTGGCTTCTTATATTTTTATACATTTTATATACAAGGGAATAGGATAGAAGGGTCAGGCAAGGGTCAGAAACACAGGGAAAATATAGAAATCATAGTGTAGAAAACATATCCACTTATCCCTCCAACCAGAGTTCCATAGTGAAATTGATGAGAGCCTCGATCATGGCTCAGTAGATGTCCATAGCTCATAGTAATAATGTGAGAGTCCAAAAAGGGAGAGGGAAACCAAAGGTTCCTTCGAGGGGGCAAAAAGGGTCCAAAAATCATAAGATGTGGTTTGGTAAGTCCACTGAGCCAGGATATGGAGTCCTGCATCACTGGGGCTGAAGCTTGCCCTATGGTCCGAAGAGAACTACAAATCCCTCCGAGATCTGGAGTGAGGGTGGCAGGTCCACTTCCCGAAGGCCTCATGGGGTGCCCACATCAAGTTCCCCGGGTCCTGGGGCTCCAAAAGGGCGAAGAAGCATTGGCGGGAGCAGCACAGCAGCGGGAAGCCCAGTTCGGCAATCGGCTGTTTCTTATTAGAATATTCTTAAAACAAAAAGGTTATTCCCAGAGCGCAGGAGTCCGATATGCAAAAAGCAAGATAGCAGTTAGTGTTAGAATTAGGCTAAGAAAAATATGGCATCAAAATGGAGTCATTTGGTTAACTCACGGATATGGGGGCCCGGGGGTTTCCGTATCCGTGGTTTAAAGAAACGTAGATTAGGCCTCCCTGGGATGCCTGGAAGGCATCCCAGGCAAGCCGGCGGCTGCCCGTGGCCCAGAAAAGGGTAAGTACATGCAATTGATACCTTTGAGTCAAGAAATAGACACAGTGTATCACTATGGAGAGGTATAGGTTACAATTTAATTAGTCTTTATTAGGGATTTGTTACAATGTTTGGGCTGGGGAGAAAAGCAAAAGGAGAGAGTTCAAGGTTGGAGAGAGTCCTTGGTTGAGACCTCTGCTGGGGCACATTTCATTAAAGTTGGCCCAACGGGGCATCCAGGAACAGCGGAACTCCCTGAAGCTGGTCAGATCAGTTGGAAAGCAGGGGCCTCGGGCGGGCTCGCCATCACTGCTAGGTTGGCATAAGCCGGGGCTGACAGCTCACGCCACTACCTGGATTCAAACTTGCAGCCTTTTGGTCAACAAGTTCACCAGCTCAGCGGTTTAACCCACTGCGCCACCGGTGGTTCCAACACTAGCTGTCGGCAGCCAATGCCGCAGGACGAGTGGTGGACAGTGCTGATGGCAGGCAGTTCAGTACTGGCAGCAAAAGCGAACATGAGCCAGATGTATCAGGAAGCTGAATGCCAAGTGCTAAAGAACTGCAAAAACACCATCATCTTGCCATCACAGCATCCTGAACAGCCGCCAAAGATCATTGGTAGAAACAGCCAGATGGAAAAACGCCGGATACAATTCAAAAACTCTTACTGTAAGTCTTGAGTAGGAAGTGTGTGACCGCCAAAATGTTAAATGCCATTACATATGGAGCTTCCAGCTGGGACAAATGTGTTGGGAGTTAATACTTGGGCAGGATTTCAGAAGTGAGACCAGGGTTTGAATTTCCACTCAGCTGTGAGAACTCGGTGACCTTGGGCAAGTCACACTCTCTCAGTCTCTGTCAACCGCTCCCCCAAAACAAATATTGCCAGGAAACAAATATTGCGAGAATTTAACTTGGTGACCTTGGGCAAGTCACACTCTCTCAGCCTCTGTAGAAGGCGGGGCAACCCGTCTACCAAAACAAATATTGCCACGACAACCTCCGATAGGTTCACTCTAGGATGGTCAAAAGTCAGAAACAATTTGGGGGAACTCAACAATTTAAAAAATACAAATGCCCTAAATCACCAGATCCCATCTGACCTTGGAAGATAAGCAGGTTTAGCCCTGGTTAGTTCTTGGATGAGAGACAAGCAACAAACCCCAAGGGTCCTGGGCTCTATTTTTGAGGAGGAACTGACAAAAGGATCTCTGAGTTGCTTTTTACCTAAGGAGACACCTTGTAATTCATGGGGCCACATAATGCCATTGAAAGGACCATAGTGTCTAGATCTAGGGAAGTCATGCTACCCCTCTATTCTGCTTTGGTTAGACCACACCTGGAATATTGTGTCCAATTCTGGGCACCACAATTCAAGAGAGATATTGACAAGCTGGAATGTGTCCAGAGGAAGGCGACTAAAATGATCAAGGGTCTGGAGAACAAGCCCTATGAGGAGCGGCTTAAGGAGCTGGGCATGTTTAGCCTGAAGAAGAGAAGGCTGAGAGGAGATATGATAGCCATGTATAAATATGTGAGAGGAAGCCACAGGGAGGAGGGAGCAAGCTTGTTTTCTGCTTCCTTGGAGACTAGAACGCAATGGAACAATGGCTTCAAACTACAAGAGAGGAGATTCCATCTGAACATGAGGAAGAACTTCCTGACTGTGAGAGCTGTTCAGCAGTGGAACTCTCTGCCCCGGAGTGTGGTGGAGGCTCCTTCTTTGGAGGCTTTTAAACAGAGGCTGGATGGCCATCTGTCAGGGGTGATTTGAATGCAATATTCCTGCTTCTTGGCAGGGGGTTGGACTGGATGGCACATGAGGTCTCTTCCAACTCTAGGATTCTATGATTCTATGACACACCTTAACACTAAATACCCTGAAAGCAGTTGATGTGAGCTATCTTGGAAATTATGCAGGGTCTGCCTTGGTTTGCACTTGGATGGGAAACCGACAGGGAGTCCAAAGTGCTGGGGGCTTTATTGCAGAGGAAAACCACCTTCTTTGCCTAAGAAAACCCTTTGCAATTCAGGGGAACATCATGAATTTACAGGCAATTTTAGTAGCACACGTTTGATAAAGAGCAGACAGAGAGGAGATTGAAATGACGAGGGAAAAAGCCATTTTTGAACATTTTACAGACTAAAAGAACGATGGAAATGTTAACCAAAACCCAAAAACAAATACATTTTTCAAAACCAGAATAATAAATATTAAAGTATAAATCATTGTGTATATAAGAAGGATGGAGATGTGTTAACAAAAATACAAGAATAAATAGAAGAGAATCATAACACAAAACAAAGTAATAAATAAAAATTCTAGAATGCAGGAGGAATAAAATAAAAAAACCCAAATAATAAAGAAAAATGCAAGAATACATAATGTAATAAATCAGTCCTTATTTGCACTTCTTCTTATGGATAAGATGGGAAAGGAACTACATGAAAACATGGTTGGGAAAAGCGTTTCCTCCCAGCTTCAAAAGCCACGTGTTTCCCAGGCTCGGCTCTTCCAGTGTTTTGGACTTCACTTCCCAGAATTCCTGCTCCTTGCCCAAGGAAGCGGAGGCTTCTGGGGGTTGGAGTCCAAAAGCCTGGCTGCCTGAAGGCAAACCTTCGAGATTTGGAACTACAGGTGGCTAGAGAAGACTTCCTGGAGTGTTTTGTTTTGCCCGGATGTGGGTTGTGTCCCCCTCTTCCTGGTTGGGCTTCTCCTCCAAAAGAGGCTTCTTGGGAAACTCGTGCCTTTGGCTTTTCTGTCTTGGAGGAAAAGCAGGAGTTCTTGGATTTAGATGGAAGGAACTGGAGGGTTGAAGGTCAGAGAAGACAGAGGGAGGAAAAGAAGGGAAAGGCAGTTCTGATGGGAAATGTTGCAGATCCTCCTTTGGGAGCAGGATGAGAAAAGGCAGGAGGGTTGTTCTGGGATGCATCTCCACTAGAGAAGGAGAGTGTGGTGGAGGCTCCTTCTTTGGAGGCTTTGAAACAGAGGCCGGATGGCCATCTGTCGGGGGTCCCTTGAATGCAATTTTCCTGCTTCTTGGCAGAATGGGGTTGGACTGGATGGCCCACGAGGTCTCTTCCAACTCTAGGATTCTGTGAATCTATGGAGGTTAAAAGGGGCAGCAAACTGCATTCATTCCACAGTGGAGATGCACCCTCAGTAATTGTGACCAGTTTAATTCCATTTTAAAATGGGCAAAAGTATGATAGCTGGGACTCAATGCCAACACAGTGCAGCAAGTGAGAGACGCAAGTGCGAAACAGTCATTGCAAGATAGTTCACCAGAAAGGGGGGGGCAGAAAGGGGGGGGGCACAACAAACAGACAAGCATAGTGCTTAAGGCTATCTGGATATTGTATGCAAACACTTTCAAATACATAATGTCTTTGCTTCTCTAATACTGACCCGTGTCGCCCAACCAGCATTGGGTCGCAGCTATCATACTTTTGCCTTAAAAAGTACTTTCTGCATGTTTAAAGTTCTCTTATTTTGTCAAGTTGTGAGGTGCTTTGGGTCCCAATGATGGCAGGAAAAGAGGGAGAATAAATGAATTCCTATGCACACTGCAAGTGTCTTATTTATAGTGCAAAAAATATCACGAAAGAACAATACAATATTTAAAATGGAGAACAATTTTAAGCAACATAAACATATCAGTGCTTCAATAGGAAGTGTGGGCCTGCTTTTGGCAGATGGGATAGTCAGGTGAATCAGGATTGTTGTTGTTCTTGTGCATCTTCAAGTCGTTTCGGACTTAGGTCAGCCCTGAGACTCAAGCCTTGTAGGGGCGCAACTGACCTGGAGAGTCTAGTTTGGGGACCCCTTGGACTAGACTCTTTTTCCTTTTTTGTGATTACTTCTTCAATGGCYAGTTCCATTCCAGCCCTGCAATTCTGYTTTCATAATTCTTCCTCTTTAAAAGCTGGATGTTGTGTTATATTCTTTTTTCCTTCCAGTTCTCCTGACAGAAAGCTCCAWGCAGATGTTTACATTGCTGCAGTAGAGTCTAGCATTTTCCACCRTTTCAGGCTAYTATCCAAACATGAAAATGGAGACTCRAGAAGAYCTTACAAGTCATATAACAGGGCAAGTGCCAAAGGAAKTGAGAGGAAGCTGCCATGTTGCGACAACGGAGGCATTCCTACAAAGGAGAYCAGCGGAGGTGAAACAGGAGCCCAACAAAGAYTYRCTTCAGCAGTGGGAAACCCAATGGCAGGAGTTCCTGAATRGCCTAGAAGGTCCTCACCCAAACTGGGGRACCTCTGAGTCAAGGGAGGAGCCGTGGGACGACGCCAAAGCCTTCCTGGCCTCCTTTGAGCAAGTGGCCCAAGCTTGCCGGTGGCCCAAGGAAGAGTGGGTGCCCCGGCTCCTGCCAGCATTGAGCGGAGAGGCCAAGCAGGCCTTCACTGGCTTGGAGGCCGAAGGCAGGGAGGATTATGGGAAAGTGAAGGCTGCCATCTTGCACGGGGACGCCATGTGGCGGGAGGAGCAGCGGCAGTGTTTCCGACGTTTCCACTACCAGGAGGCCGAGGGGCCAAGAGGGGCTTATGGCCAGCTTCGGGAACTGTGTTGTCGGTGGCTGAAAGTTGAAAGGCATTCGAAGGAGCAGATCCTGGAGCTGCTGGTCTTGGAGCAGTTCTTGGCCATCCTGCCTCCAGAGATAGAGGCCTGGGTCAAGGAATGTGGTCCAGAGACTTGCTCCCAGGCGGTGGCCTTGGCGGAGTACTTCCTCCAGAAGCAGCGAGAGGAAGAGGCCAAGAGGCAGGCAAACCAGGTGAGGACCGTTCATTGGGTTCTAGGCTTCCCAAAGGGCTGTGTTGTGCAAGGTGCCAAAAGATCTTCATTTAGCAAGTCAGGGTGGCAGTGTGATTGATCTGGAGTAGGCAAAATTTAGTCTGTATGGGGCTATGTTTGAGCCTTCTTATATCTCCCAGCACATACTCGGCCCCAATAGTTAACCTTTGGTGATTTTAAAAAAATAACTTTGTGATTTTAAAAGGCCTCTTTTGTGCCTGCAACAGCCATGTAAGGAGAAAAACAATTCCCATAAGTAGATGTGGGATACTGAGTTTTAAATTTAAGAAAAAGTTGAAATACAGTGGTAGTGAGGAGCGCCCTGAAAAGAGCAACTGCAGTGCCCATCAAATGCCCAGGCAGTAGTTTTAATGTGGGATTGTGCCTTGCAAGATCTGGGTTCAACTCCCTTTTGGACCATGAAACGCATTGTGTGACCCCAGGTTAGTTATTTTCTCTGATCGTGACCTACCTCACAAATACTTTGAGGGCTGTGTAGAGCAGAGCAATGCCATACACGTGAGATATACATTGGGTTAACAAGTGATACATATTTTAGGTGCCGTTAAAGGAAGAGGAGAGAGTGGGTTCCTCTGAAGTTGTCCAAGCCCTGCCTGAGATGGAACAGAAGAAGCTTCGTGTGGAGACCAAAGAAGAAAATGACGATAGTGATGCTGGATCCTTGGGTAAGAAGAGTGGGCTGTTTGTGTCCTTGGACTTTGGGGGTGTTCTTTGTAGACTAACCATAGCACTGTAGCTGCTTCTTCCCTGAGTAGGGCCTTCCCATCATCCTTTGGGTAGTCTTGAACCCAAGGGTGTGCCAGGTACATGGGCCTCCCAGCTTTGCTAGAGAGGATTGAAAGTTGTAGTAACTGGAAGGCCATAGTTTCCCCTTTCCTGAGGTAAGTTAAGGGACTGCATGGGCAAACCCCTGGCCTGGAAGTCCTCATCATCGCTGGTAAATCCTTCCTTGGATTATTATTTCCAGTTCTGACCATCTGAGTTCAAAAATGTCCAGAGGAAACATACCATACAATCACAGTATGTTGTGCTTTTAAGCAGTCTTATCAGTTTATGAATCTGCTGTGCACTTTTTTTCGGTGAGCAAGCTGAGTCTTTACACTGTAATAAAGATTGATTGATTAAATAACTTGTTATGCCTGATGGAGTATACAACAGCGGGAGATGGCACCGAGGTTATAACCCAGATCTCTTATTTGTGAGCAACAGCATTGTACAGCAATGCACTAAATCAGTGGGACCACCAATTCCAAACACACAGCACCAACCAATAATATGCCAACTGTTCCCAACAATAAGGCCTCAGGAAGTTCGATTTAAACGAAGATGCAACTTCAGAAAGGCAGATTGGACTAAATTCTCAGACATGTTAGATGACATGATCACATCGGTCGTGCCAATCACTGAGGAATACGAACATTTTATTGAAATAGTGAAAACCTGTTCACGGGCCTCTATACCGAGAGGCTGCAGAACCCACTACCCTCAGGGCATTACTCCTGAAACAGCTGCCTTGTTGGAAAACTATTACAGGCTCCACAACGAAGACCCATTTAGTGAGCAGACTCTTCAGGCAGCGCAAAACATTGTGTCCTCCATCTCTGAAGCCAAGAAAGAACAGTGGATCAAGCTGATCACAGAGGTCGACATGGGCAGGAGCAGCTAGAAGGCGTGGAGGCTGCTAAGACGGCTGAGCAGTGACCCCTCACAAACTAATACCCATGCCAACATAAAGGCAGATCAGATAGCACACCAACTCTTGAAGAACGGGAAACCCAACCTTGCCACCAAAGTAGGAAAGAAACCAATAGCCAGAGATTGAGAACAACCACCTTCATGAACCCTTTACATCTACTGAATTGGACATGGCTCTCAACAAATGTAAGAATGGCAAAGCAGCTGGCTTGGATGATCTACGGATGGAACAAATCAAGAACTTTGGTCCAAAAGCAAGGTGCTGGAGCTGATGAACAACTGCACTGCATCCTGTCAGATCCCCAAAATCTGGAGGAAAGCAAGAGTCATCGCCATCTTGAAGCCAGGCAAAGACAGTAATGACCCAAAAAGCTACAGACCAATCTCCCTGTTGTGCCACCTCTACAAAGTTTTGGAGATACTCATAGATCTGCATAGAATTATGGAAAACATAGACCCCTGTCTGATTCCACAGCAAGCTGGCTTCAGAAAAGGCAAAAGCTGCACATCGCAAGTGCTGAACCTGACTCAGCACATAGAAGATGGCTTTGAAAGGCAGCAGATCACAGGAGCTGTCTTCATAGACTTGTCAGCAGCCTATGATACTGTGAACCATTGCCTCCTCCTGAGAAAAATGTATAATATCACAAAGGACTACCACCTCACCCGCCTCATAGGAAACCTGCTACAAAACAGGAGCTTTTTTGTTGAGTTCCAGGGCCAGAGAAGCAGATGGCAGAAACAGAAGAACGGCCTGCCTCAGGGGAGTGTGCTTGCTCCATCCATGTTCAACATCTACACAAATGACCAGCCACTGCCAGAAGGGACAGAGAGTTTCATCTATGCTGATGATCATGCCATTACTGCTCAAGCAGGGAGCTTTGAGATGGTTGAACAGAAGCTCTCCGAAGCTCTAGGTGCTCTTACTGCCTATTACAGGGAAAACCAAGTGATCCCTAACCCATCTAAAACACAGACATGCGCCTTTCACCTCAAGAACAGACAAGCACCCCGAACTCTGAGGATTACCTGGGAAGGAATCCCACTGGAGCATTGCAACACACCCAAATACCTGGGAGTCACTTTGGACCGTGCTCTGACCTACAAGAAGCACTGCCTGAACATCAAGCAAAAAGTGGGTGCTAGAAACAACATATGAAAGCTGACTGGCACAACCTGGGGATCACAACCAGACACAGTGAAGACATCTGCCTGTGCTATGCTACTCTGCTGCTGAGTATGCATGCCCAGTGTGGAACACATCTCACCACACTAAAACAGTAGATGTGGCTCTTAATGAGACATGCCGCATTATCACAGGGTGTCTGCGCCCCACACCACTGGAGAAATTACACTGCTTAGCCGGTATTGCACCACCTGACATCCGCCGGGAAGTAGCAGCCAATAGTGAAAGGACCAAGGCAGAGACATCTCCAGCTCATCCCCTGTTTGGGTATCAGCCAGCACGTCAACGACTTAAATCAAGACATAGTTTTCTTAGATCTACAGAGACACTCGCTGGAACACCCCAGCAAGCGAGAGTCCAAAAGTGGCAGGCCCAAACCCAGCACCTCAATTCATGGGTGATACCAGATGAGAGACTCCCCCCTGGGCACTCAGAAGACTGGGCGACTTGGAAGGCGCTGAACAGACTGCGCTCTGGCACCACGAGATGCAGAGCCAATCTTAAGAAATGGGGCTACAGGGTAGAATCCTCGGCATGCGAGTGTGCGGAGAAGAACAAACCACTGACCACCTGCTGCAATGCACCCTGAGCCCTGCCACATGCACAAGGGAGGACCTTCTTGTGGCAACCCCAGAGGCACTCCAAATGGCCAGATACTGGTCAAAGGACATTTAACCAAATACCAAATTTGCAAAATCTGTGTGTTTTTTCCCCTTTCTTTTTAATCTGTGTGTTTGTTTTGTTCTGTTAGAATTGTAATACAGTGGTTGCTGATGACACGATAAATAAATACCTGAATAAATAAACGCGAAGCTTATTGAACTACAGAAATTGATACTTTGAAAGAAACAGAAGGAAATGAAAAACTTAAAAACACAGTATAGGGTTCAATTTCTCTTTCGGTTCTTATACAAGATTCAGAAACTTTCACAGACTATTCAGTTTCCATTGGACAGTGAAAAAAAATGGGACAATCCTAACTTCGCCAGAGAAGACTATCCAAAGACTTGGGAGCAACCACCATGTCTTGATCCCCTGATCTTTCCTTTTTTTAAAAAAAAAATTCTTTATTAGAAAATTTTTCAAATACATCAAATAAAAACGTCAGGGTGGAGTGGGGTTAAGGGTATTTCAATTATATAAGTTCGTTAAAAAAATTAGTATGGGAGGGGAGTGTGACAGGGTAGGGTCGTTGGGAGAGAGGGTGGGAGAGAGAAGGTAGGAGTTCCCTATCCGATAATTATCTAGAGTTTCAGGGGAGTATGAGATGGATGGGGGGGGGGGGAAAGGGGAGATTTTAGGGGTATTTGACTTCCAACTCCATCTTCTTCGCGTTCTCATTTTCGTTTCTGTTCCATTTTTTTGAGGTTTATCCCTTGTTGTTCCTTTCTATCTCTTAATTTTATTGTTCTACTCTTTTTTTTAGTTGTTCTTGTTCTTGTTATTTTATTTTATTTTATTATTATTATTATTTTATAATAATAATAATAATAATAATAATAATTATTATTATTATTATTATTATTATTATTTTTCCCTTCTGTCTCCATACTTCTATTCATGTAATCCTTTAGTGGGTTCCAGTTTGTTCTTTTAAGTGGGCGTCCATATGTGTCCTTTAGAGCATAGGTTAACATATCCATTTCTTTAATTTCTAGGACTTTTTCTAACCATTCTTCTTCTGATGGTACTTTTTTAGTTTTCCATTTCCTTGCATATACTATCCTTGCTGCCATTGTAAGATATGTGAGCAGTATGTCTTCGTTTGGGCTAAGATCCCATTCTTCTTCGAACATGCCCAGAAGGTAGTGTTCAGCTTTTCCCTGTATCTTACGGTTTAGGATTTTTCCACAAGTCAACGCTAGAAGGAGAACAAAGGCGTCTACTAGGCTGGAGGAGATGGCCCACATACAAAACATCAACGATCAAAAAAGGAGGAATTCTTCAACTGAAGACAAAAGAAGAACTATCGAAAGAATTCAAATCCTTCTCGTGGTTACATTTTTTCCCAACTTAGAGAACATTTCCTCAAAGATCAAAAGAAGGGTTTTATGGAAAAAGACGACTTCTGGGAAAACATCTTACAAAAAGACAAGAAAAATAAAACATCAATATATAATAAAATACTCAAATGGACAACTGAACAAGAATTAATTAAGGATTGTATGACTAAATGGGCAAAAAACATTGGAAGAACTATAATGCTTAAAGAGTGGGAACAGATATGGTCGAGGAAGATCAAATATACATATTCTTCAACATTAAAAGAGAACTGGTACAAAATGTTGTATCGATGGTACATGACACCGCAGAAGCTGGGACAAATGTATAAAAACAACTCCACTAAATGCTGGAAATGCAACAACCAGACCGGAACCTTCTTCCACCAATGGTGGTCTTGCCCAGTAGCTCAGAAATACTGGAAAGAAGTCAATGAAACTTGTGGAAAGATCCCCTGATCTTTCCTGAGAAGCTTCCTGGTGGCATTGTGAGAATGGGTCTTAATTTGCTTTCTGCTTTATTTCTAACAGGTGATGAATGGAAAAGTGAGAATGCGAGGCTTTCCTCAGAAAGGACAGAGTGTGAAGCATTGAAGGTGAATGTTTGGAGCCAAGTTGGGCCAGCGAGCCAAGATGAAAGCCACACGGAAGAGCTGCAAGCCAAACCCTTCGCATTTCTGGTGGGGGACTTCCACAAAATCTCAGTCCAGCAGGAAAGCGAGAAAGACAAAAAGGGAATTGCTCTCCCCAGTGTTCATTGGAGAATTCGCCCTGCGGATGAATC